GCTGTGCTTTAATATGCTGGTTCTCCTGACGCCCAGTAACCAGACACTTGCTTTGGTCGAGTGTTCCCTCCCTGTTCCATTCTGTATCCAGAGAAGAGGTGCCAGACTTTGCCGAGCGTTGCAGTTTGCGTTTTGCCTTCCAGGCCAACCACGCGGAACAGCACGAGGGTCGTCACTACAGCATCCCGCTGGAGGAGGTGAAGGCCGTCTTTCCGCACGGGCTGCCCTCTCGCTTCCAGCAGCAGGCACGTTGTCCTGCAGCACGTTTGTACGGAGCGGGCTGGTGGGGGGGAAGGACCAGATCCGTCGTGTAACTGCGGTGCCTTCCTGGGGGAATGAGATAGAGTGATGTGCCGCAAGCATGCAGTTATTCCTGGCCCTCACCGTTATGTTTTACATCCAAAACACATCAGAAGTGGCAGAAGGGTCTGAGGATTCCACCTTGGGCAACATTCTGTCCGGTATTTTTCATCCCTAACTTCTGGGTACATAATAAATTAGAGAAACATTTTCCACAGTTACATTTCTGTATGAAACAGGCTGTCTCCTAAGTTTGTATCAGCCACAAAATATCCTGATTTCTGTTGTGAGACAGATGGTGCCGTGACTGGGTCAGGCTCCGTCAGCAGCTAAGGTAGGCTGCCTGCTTGAGTTTAGCAACGGATTTCTTAGCTGGGAGTGAGTAATCCTGGGTGGGGGCTTTTGATTCTCAGTGAATGAGTCGGCCTCACCTCAGTCTCTGGGAAGGTGGTGGAACAGCTAATGCTGGAAACCATTTCCAGGCACACAAAGGACAGGAAAGTCATCAGGGGCAGTCAGCACGGCTTCACCAAGGGGAAGTCATGCTTGAGCAACTTCTAGGCTGAAAGGACGGGCCCGGTAGACAAGGGGAGAGCAGTGGGCATTCAGACCCTGCCCAGTACCAGCCAGAGACGGAGTGGTGTCAGGAACAGCTGTAGTGTGCCAGTACCCGGCTTCTGGTTCATGTTCTGTTCTTCTTCTCAGATTAAGACCTTCAATGAAGCCTGCCTGATGGTGCGAAAGCCAGCTCTGGAACTTTTCACTTACCTGAAGAACTCCAACTTCGCGCACCCAGCTGTCAGATACGTGATCTGTATCTTTTATCCCTCACGTGGTGGCAGAATGCAAATTAAACGTGAGGGGGTGAGTTCCCGCAGACGAGGGTGATGTTTTGATCCTGTGCTGACCGCTGTGGTTTAGTCTTCAGGAGGTGGTTTCTACCACGTGTCTGTTGTCAGCAAAGCTAATCTGGGAAGTTCACGAACCTTGTATGCTTGTCTTTTAAGCCTGATCTGGCTTATGGCACAGATCCACAAATAGGGCTCTCTGTACGATTAAGGGAATGGAAATCATCAGCTCTGATATCGTGGGGTGGGAGGATGTAGGGAGAAGGAGCTCTTCAGGCTAGGTTTGCTGCTGAACAAAAGCATGATGGAATGCCATCCCTGCTTTTATGACCTTGGAACTTCTGTTATGCCTTTTGTGAAGGAATTACAGTCAAGTATAAATGGAGGTGGTTTTTTGGAGACTTTCCTTGACAGTCCGTGTTGGAGACGGCGAGAAAGGAACAGGGAAAACCATGACTCTGTGTCACGTGGTTCACTACTGCGCAAGGCAAGGCTGGCTGGTGCTGCACATCCCAGATGGTAAGAACACCCACGCTGTTTGTGCGACTACATCACATACACTTGCTGACCTGGAAGGTGCAGGATAGGCCACAGCAAATTATCCTTGTGTCTTCCATAGCGGAGAAGGCTTCTAAAGCACAAACCCCCAAAATAAAGTAGAACATAATTAGTTATTTTCACATAGTCCGTCTTTTTTTCCCCACTGTTAACGAGTACGACAGGAGACATACTGTGTGTGGGTCTGTGTGTCCTCCTCTGTTCTCAATCACAGAATCCCAGAATGTCAGGGATTGGAAGAGACCCCAAAGGATCATCTACTCCAGTCCCCCTGCTGGAGCAGCACCACCCAGATCAGATCACACAAGAACACGTCCAGGCGGGTTTGGAACATCTCCAGAGAAGGAGACTCCACAGCCTCTCTGGGGAGCCTGTTCCAGTGCTCTGTTCCCCTTACTGGGAAGAAGTTCTTCCTCAAGTTTAAGCGGAACCTCCTGAGTTCCAGCTTAGATCCGTTTCCCCTTGTCCTATCATTGGATGTCAAGGGAGAGTCTTGTCCATTAAGGACGGCATGATTTTCTTATCAGCATAGCAGAATAAGGATAAGAGATACAAACACACACCCCACCACCCAACTCATACAATTATTTTGACTTTTTTAAAAAAGCAACTGTTTTCTTCTGCTTACAGCTCATCTCTGGGTGAAAAACTGCAAGGAGCTTATGCAGTCTTCCTATAACAAAGAACGGCTTGATCAGCCTTTGCAAGCATCCTTCTGGCTCAAGAACTTCAAGGCCTCAAATGAGCGCTTCCTAAAGGAGGTCTGTAGAGCCTACCAAGGTGTTTTGGTTGGCAGCCAAGAACTGCCCACAGAATCACCTCTGAGGGGCTGCACGTGCGTGTGCTCCTTGTCACTGAGCACCGTGACGCAAATTCTAGATTTGCTCATTTTTCAAGAAATGCTTCGGGTGTTCCTGCACACACTCATATTGCTTACAAACCCACAAACCCTACCCTTCATTGGAATTCCATTTCTGTAGGAAAAGAAGTATTTTGCATCCCCTCTGTGGGGATGGCTATTTGCGATGAATGCTTGTCCCAGATTCTGCACTAGTGTTCAACACTAGCCAAGGACCAGGAATCTTGCCATCCAGACTTGCCAAGCTGCCTTTGCACTACTTAGTTCCCAGTTTAATTGTAGTTCTCTTACTGCAGATAAAAACACAAAGAAAATATGTGTGGGGCAAACGAGAAAGCACGGAGGAGGGCAGACCGTTGGGTGAGGTGGTGGAGCAGGTAAGGAACAACAAGTGCTTCTGGCTTTGCCTCACCTTTATTAGAAGATCCCATCATCGTGTATGTAGAACAAATTGCTTCTAAAGATCTTACAAATACCAGTTCTTGGAAATGGAAGGCATTTCCCTGTCAACAAGGTGGTTGCATAAAACATTGTGGAAGGTGTGGTGGCGCTTTAAAGGAAGCCGTACAGAGAACTTGGGTAGAGGCAAAAATTAGAATTTGGAAGTTCCTACTTCTTTGATACTCAGTACCTTGGATCAGATCGCTCCTTTGAACGGAATGAATGGGTTGTTGACCATCATTTTATCTTCCTTCCCCCTCAGAAAGGGCAGACAGCGGCCAAAGCTGCCAGCACTACAGATTAACGAGGAAACCAACCTGAGTTACGTGCCTTTTCCTCCCGAAAGGGTTTAGCTCGCGTGAGGAACGCCAGCGACGCTGTAGGGGTTGTGCTGAAAGAGATAAAGCAGCAGTGTCGTCTCGGCTCATTCCGACTGCTCGTGGCAGTGGACGGCGTCAACGCGCTCTGGGGAAGGACCACGTTGAAGAAGGAAGACAAAAGCCCGGTAAGAAGCAACCTGCTCTGACATTTGTGTTCCTGCTCCAGGGAGAGCAGAGCAGGGTGTTTTGTTTAAGTTCCATAGTGATCCCCGAAAGACTTATCTTAGGTTTTGCTAGCTTGGAGGGATGTGCAAAATTTGTACTGTGTTTAGACAGTTTTTACTGGAGAAAGTTGTTCTTTTTTTAAGAACAAAGCGCGTGTATGTCTTGTTACAGCAGGAGAGATGTGGGCATTTCTCCCTGTAACGCTGCTGGGTGCTGCAGTGCTAAGTCAGAGCAAAGAAAAAACCGCGCCTAAGTGCTGCAAACGACCCTTCCAGTCCGGTGCAAAGTGGGGGGGGGAATTACGCCTTGGGTAGAAACTGCTGGCAAAAGCGTGATACGGACAATCTTCACCAGGTGTCTCCAGAGGAGCTGACGCTTGTGTACAACCTAAGGAAGATGATGATGAATGATTGGGTGAGTTCGGTCTGTACCTTCGGGGTGCTGCCCGCTGATAAACGAAAGCTGCAAAT